CAGGAAAGAACTTGCATAATCAACCAATCTTATGTTAGTGAAAACAGTCTAATATCTGTTAAATGAACATAGCATATGGAAAATACAAGTTTGTAAGACAACAAAGGAGCTTATACTAGATTATCCATCCCCATTTTTTAAACCTATAACCTTCGTTCCAGTATTCTTAGATTCCAGTCAAATTCATAAACCCCAAAGTAGCATTGTTAGAGAGTCTATGCCAATTTAACGAGTGACAAAGACCCCTGGCTGCAGTGGAATTTTAGCCACAAGCTTGTTTAGAAAGTGACGTGAAAAAGTTACCTTAAAATCTTCCCGTGGCCGAGTGTCGTTGATTAGAGTGATCGAAACCGTCTGAACTTTAAACGAAACGATGTCTGCAACAGGAAAAAGACATTTTGCTTGAAATTTAAATCCAATGGGAAAATTTAAAAATGTCAACAATGACTTGACACGAAACTGAAGAGAGGAAAAAGCATTTTTCAAGGTGAAAATTTGACAGAATTTGTTCCGTCGGATGCGATATCTGATGGACCTATGGACCTGGTACCCAGTTCGCTAATTTCGTAAATTACAGGAGTGTTACACCAAAACCACCGTGTGTAACAAAAACATGAAAAGGAAACCATTCCATTGCCGGGAAATGATCCCGAGTCTCCTGGGTGAAAACCAGATATCTTAACCACTGGACGACAATGGAAGCTCATGCTTATCGTTGAAATATTATAATTATTAATCATTTATTTTCTTTTCTTACCACACTTCACACAAGCTTAGAAGGAGATGGTGTACCAACTTAATCCTCATTCTTAGGGAAATATTTCATTATTAATCATCTTAGGGATCCTAGATGGGGGGTGGGGGGGAGTTTAGGGAAGCTACTACCCCTAGTAACATTAATGTATAATCTATTTTATTCGTTTATCTTATTTTTTTTTCATGTGTCTAGTTCCAAAATTAATTTGTTTTATTAAACTTTTAATTTAATATTTAAAATTTTATTTTATATGTTATTATAATATTTATAAACAATTATAATTAATTTATGAAAATTGATTAAATAAATTTAAATATATAAATTTATATTTTATGTTAATTATGATATGACACTAAAATTAAAAGTGATATTTTATTTTATAAGGAAAAAATACGTCATAAAAAGAAAATAAATATTAAAAAGATTATAACATTTTTATTTTTAGCTTTTTCTTTTAGAAATTCTAAATTTTTAACTTTTTAACTTTTGTATTCGACTATTATAAACGTTTAATATTAAAAAGTTAAGATTAATCTTTAAACATATCAATTATTTCAAATTAATTAAAAATGATATAAAACTGTTATGGGTGGGGTGAACCTAAAGTTGGAAAAGATTGAAAAGTGAGAGAGAAATTGGATAGAAGTAACATAGTAATTATAATAGCGATAGACACCTCATTTTTATTAGAATTAATATGTATCGATATTAATTTATTTTGATGTGTTGTTTTAAATTTATTGACATTTAAAAAAAATTAATATGTATATATAGAAGAATATTTATATACATACCAAATAAATAAAATTAAATAAATTTTAAATACAAAACATTCATCAATAATCATTTTAACAAATGTAGAGGACATAAAATAAAGTTTAACGCTATGCTTGGATTGAGTAAATATGAAGGAAAACTAAGTAACTTAGGGAAAGTATGAGGAGTTAACTATCAGTTAACAATAACAACTTTGAAAAGACAAAAGGAATGGATTAGCCTCATTACATTATTAGTCTGCTTCATTATTAAAAAAGATAATAATATATTACACCAATAATTTCAATCAAATAGATACATACATGCATACATAGAACTCAACAGCACCTGACTTACTAAGTTGACATGAACATAATTTTCACACTTATCACTATCACTCATAGCAACATAATCCTTCCAACTGTAAAGGGGCAAAAGGAAGTACCAATCAGGTATTATCCAATACCATTATTGAGAGATGACGAGACTCACTAAATGACAATAAAAAAATAAAACAGCTACCCTTCATTCATCTGCCCGAATACTATTATACTTTTCAGCTACTCCCACCAGGGAAACTACAGCCGTTAGTGCCTGTAAAGTGTCAAATATTCATATAAAATGACATAACTTACTTTGTACACCAAAAAGTAAAGGTCTACTCTAAGAAATTTGAACTTACTTGGGTTGTTTGAAGAAAGCATGGCTGTCTGTGAGAAATCACAGCTCGATGGATTCTGACCAGAAGTTTGATAGTAGAGATTCATTGCGTATGCAGCGTGTGCTGCTAACGTATTTGGTTCGAAACAGGCCCCTCCCGGTTGAATTGGACCACAATCTATGCCTTGTCCACAAGCGTAATCCAAACTTGCCTGCAGTTGGGCATCTGAAACACCAGTCTTTGGAACACACCAAGCAGATTTCTTCGGCTCTGTTGATGGTGTCACCGGTGACGGACTCACAGGGGACTTGAGGAGAGAAAACAAAAACAAAACAAAGATAGGATTCACTGCCAATACTTAACAGTATGTTGATTAATGCTGTTTATCAGTAATAGTTGCAGTTTTCTCACCGGGCTGTTACTCTTTGAGAGGCCTACGTCATACGTCATGGTGAGATCCTCGGATTTGAAAAGCCCGAAAGATCTCTCGGTAGTTGGTCCGGGTTTCAAGTTCTCATCGTAGAGAGCAAATAAATATGTGTTCACCGATTTCCCAGGCATCAATGGAGTCCCCGCCATTGATCGGAGGTGTGCAATCAAGTTTCCATTGTAAGCCTTGGCGTTCTCAATGCTTGCTCCTACTTCATCGCTGTCTCCTTTGTACGGCCAACCCGTTTCCGCTACCACAATTTCAACGTTTTTGAACCCCATGGCATCCAATGCAGAACGAACAGCATCCACCTGTGGAAGAAATGAAATGAATCCACGTTAAACCATAGTATTAAGTTATGATATTGACCCAGCATACCATCCGCAATCGTAATTTAATACCATGTGTTAAAAGAAGCATTCATTCTAAGTGGATATTACATAACATGCATGTTCATGGGACTACCTGAGCATCGAACATGTTCATGTAATTGATTTTCGTGTTGGCATCAAAACGCCCCGGATTCTGTTGGAACAAGCAGAACGCCAGCGTTTCAGGCCTTGGATCGCTCCGGTAAGCGAAGTAAGGGTACGGGTTAATAGCAAAAGGCGAACCGGTAGCATTATTAAACGCTAAGAGCCCTTTCAACACGTCTCCATAACTCGGGTCGAAAATCCCAGAAGATGGCGGCTCAGATTGTTTCAACAGGGTCATTGAATGCACCGTTGAGACCTTCACTTTGTCCCCCAAACAAGCCGTATCCAGGGCGTTCTTGATATTTTGCATGGCCGGCAACAACTGAGATATCAGATTGTTATCACCAGACATGATAACCTCGTTGCCAACGTTTACAAGGATGATTTTGCTGGATGGGTTATAAGCAACTACGTTGGCATTCACCCAGGTTTTGGCAAAATTTGGGTCTGAGGCTAAGGCGGGGATGTCACCGTTGGCCGTCGCGATAACGATGCCAATTCCGGTGTTGGCTAGCGCTTTGATGATTGCTGGGTCGGACCCGTATAGTCGGACCTTTTGGATTGAAGTTGATTGGAGAAGCTTTGCCGTGGATGACGGTGATGGAAGATTGTCGGCAACTTGTCCATAGTTTACACCAATAAATAATTGGGATTCTGAAAATAAAGACGTACGTTGTTAAGCAGTTAAACTTCTCTCTCGATTTTGTCAAGAGATACAAATTTCCCGTTACATGTCGTTAAAAGAACCGTAGCCACTTGCCACTGCTCTACGTTGTCTAAAAAGCAAGAAGTAGAGGACTAATCTGAATGTTTTCCATGTCTGATATTCAAAGAAAAGTTTGAAAAAAAGAAAGTTGTACATATTTTACGAGACAAACCAGAGCCATTCAACAAAGTAATATTTTAAATATAGAGGGAGATAAAAGGAAAGAAGAAATTTAATTCTACATTTTACCATACAATTCATTTCAGAAGCTTTTATTAGACCGTGGAAAGAAAGGATTGAAGAAGCTTACTCGCTTTATTTACTAGCAGTAGCAGAGCTAGAAGAAGAAAAGTTCCAGAAAAACGAAACGCGGCCATAAGTGAAGAGATGAACTGTCTTGCACGTTGCAAAGTTTGATCTATGATCTATCATTCATCCGACAAAAAATGTTGCAGCAATAAATAAAGCAGGTATGAAGGGTAGGCTCGTAAAATAAAACTATCGGTGGGAAAAGAATTTAAGAAAAGGATAAAATTAATAACATCAATTTTCTTTTATTGACGTAAATAAAAATTTACTATATAACTTAAAAATTATCGGAAATATTATATTAATAAAAATATATTAAATATTAAAGTATTATTTAAACGGGTAACATTATTTAAATATTAAATTAATAATAAAAAATATTTGATAAATTTACACAATAAATAATTAATTCTTAATTTAAAAATATATAATAAGAATTCATATAAACAAAACTTCTTAAGATGATATAATTTACAAGAGAGTGAATTATGTAGTATATTAAATAATATTGGTGAGCATGGTATTCAAATCATTAGATGGAAAAAATATTAATGTCGGGAAAATATATAACCCGTTTAGTCTGAAAAAACAATCTCACCAAATTAGCTTTTTTTTTTAGATAATCAAATTTGTCTATCATCCAAATAAAGCAGCAAGCTGCTACAAAGTACAGAAGAACATCTAGAATAGACCCCAATCAATACATAACTGACTATTAACACTATCTAGCCTATTCATGTACTGTCTATGTAACTTGATTCTAACACCCTCTTTAATGGTATGTACAATAGAATCTATTGAACGCATCACACCTCTAAAACATCTGCGATTGCGCTCCTCCCAAATGAAGTAAACAAAACCAGTCCATGAAAGCTTAAGGATGTGCACTAACAGGGATTTACCTTTCACATTCCTGACCAGCCAGTCAAGCATATGATCCCAGCTAGGCCACTGAATTTGCAACCCACAAAGCTGCAGTATAGCGTTCCAAACCCCCTAGAAAAAAGGCAATCCATGAATAGGTGATTCCTCGATTCCAGATCAGCGCCACACAGTCCACAACTAGAATCAGTCACCATAGCAAACCTACAAAGTCTATCCTTGGTAGGTAACCTATCAAGGATGACCATCCACGCAATCAAAGAAAACTTAGGGATGTGAGCAGAGAACCAAACAACTTTATGCCAAGCAACTTTACTCTTCCTGTCCCGAATGTTATTCCAAATCCAACTCCCCCTAATTTGTGACCAATTACCTGAAGTAGAAAATAAACCTATGGCTTCCTCTTGCAGATTGATCATCTTTCTGAGTATCCAGCTAAAGTGGGATTTGTTCTCAACATTCCAGTAATCATCAAGTTTAAAGCAATACGCCTTAATCCTGGCAACCCATAATGATCCCTCACCAGCCAAAATATTTCTAACAAGCATGAAACAGTAGGTTTTATTCCATCCAATCAAACTTTTTAGCCCCAAGCCACCTTCAGATTTGATAGAACAAATCTGGCACCAACTGACCCTTGCACCTCGAGCAGGGGAGTCATTACCCTTCCAAAGTACCTCATGCATAACCTCTCAATGTCCTGAATCACACCCTTAGGCAGAACCAACTGCCTACTCCAGTAATTAAAGATACTAAAAAGAACAACTTTAATAAGTTGGAGTCTCCCCCCAAAGCTCAATTTCCTGCTTGACCACATCCTCAATTTATCCTTAATTTTCTCCAGCAAAGCAGTGCAATCCTTCTTTGATAGCTTACGAGTCACTAGAGGAACTCCCAAATACCTGACATGAAGACTACAAGATCTAAACCCTGTGACTACTTGAATCTGCTCTAATTCACATATATTAATCCCACAGACAAAGAGTTCAGTTTTCAGGGCATTTAACTTGAGCCCAGACAGATGATAGAATTTCTCTAAGATGCTTTTAACTCCTAATACTGAATCCATAGACCCATGACAAAAAAGTAGTAGATCATCAGCAAAGCAGAGATGTGTGAGGGAGATTCTCTTACATTTTGGATGGAATCTAAAAATACCATTCTTAGCCGCAACATCAAGCAATCTGGAGAGAACATTCATAACAATTACAAAAAGGTAAGGGGATAATGGGCCCCCCTGCCTAACACCTCTAACACCCCTAAAATACCCCACAAGGCTGCCATTCAGAGCAATTGAGTACCTAGGGGTAGTCACACAAGTCTCAATCCATCCACAGAACCTTGCAGGAAACCCCATAACTCTAAAAACATTCAATAAGAACCTCCAGAATCGAAAGCTTTCTGCAAATCAATCTTTATAGCACATCTAGGAGAGAGATTTCTTCTAGAATAGCCATTAACTATTTCTTGGGCTAAAAGAGTATTGTCAGTGATGCTTCTACCTTTGACAAAAGCAGATTGGCTAGAAAAGATCATTTCAGGCAAGAATTGAGCAAGTCTAGAAACCAAAATCCTAGTAATAGTTTTATATACCACAGAACAGCAAGAGATGGGTCTAAATTCCTTAGTCATACAAGCATTCAAGGACTTTGGCACTAAAACTAGAGTAGTGGCATTAAAGGCAGGTAAAAGGTAAGAGGACTGGAAAAAAATACCTCACAGCATTGAGGAAATCAGAATGAACAATCCCCCAAGCCACCTTGAAGAACCAGGAGGAGAACCCATCAGGACCTGGGCTATTGTCCTTACCTTGTCTAAATAGGGCCTCTTTAATTTCTCTGTCTAAAACCACTCCCTCCAGAACCCTCTCTGCACCAACAGGTAAAGTATAGCTCAAGAGCTCCTTCAAACACTCAGGATGACACTCTTGGACCATGGGGTCAGCAGCACCAATTAAATTTCTAAAGAAGTCCACTAATTCAGCAGCCATACCATCAAATGTGTCATGGCATTATCCATCTTCACTCTTAATAACTCTAATAGTGTTCTTCATTTTTTGGAGAGCAACCTTATGATGGAAAATTTTAATACTCAAATCCCCCTCCTGCAGCCAGTGAATCTTTGTTTTCTGTCTGTAGAATTCAAGCTCAGCCACTTCAAGATCCACTGGGTCAGCATGGACCTTATTTTCCTCTTCCACCCCAAAATGGCTATCACCAGATAGGATAGAGAGTTGAACAGACTCCAGTTCTGCCCTCTTAGTAGTTACCCTAGCAGAAATATCAGAAAAATAATTCATGTTTAACTCCTTCAGAACATGATTCAGTTTTTTCAATTTGTTAAACATGATCTGCATTGCATTACCCTCACAGTGCATAAGCCAAGACTCCCTCACACTGCTCAAAAAGTTTTCATTTGCCCCAGCAGTTGAAAAATTTGAAAGGCTTAGGCCTGTGGACTTGTGCCTCTTTCTGAGTCCAAACTAACCCAAGGCAGTGGTCAGATGCCCCAGGGGCCTTGAACTCGACACATGAATCCGGAAAATCCAGCAGCCACTGGGAATTAGTGAGGATCCTGTCCAACTTCCTAGCCAAATAGGTCTCATCCTGTTTGTTAGACCAGGTAAAGAGAGGCCCGGTAAAAGGATGGTCATGCACCTCCAGATCCTCCAGGCAGTCCTTGAACTCTTCCATATCAGCAGAGGAGTGCAAGCCCAATAAATCATAGTCAGAACTTTCTTGAGCATCAGCAATAACGTTGAAGTCACCACCCAACACCCATGAATAATGGTCAATCTCACTCTCCAGGCTCCTAAGATAATCCCAAAGTCCCCTTCTAGACTCACTGTTGTTACTCCCATAAATAGCAGTAATAACAACACTATGGCCAGATATATCACCTCTAATGGATAGGGCTTTATCACATCCACCTATCACAGATAATGACAGCCTCTTATTCCACAAAATCCAGAGTCTACCACCTTCAATATATTGATAGTTAGCCTCAAAGTTCCACTCATCAACAAAAGCACCAACCACATTGGAGACATTACAGCTCCTAACTCTAGTCTCTATGAAACAGATGATATTCACACCTAGATTCTCTAGTCTTTTAAAAATTTTGCCACGTTTGAGCACATTATTTATTCCCCTCACATTCCAGAAACAGATAATCATCTAAACAAGGATGGGGGGACCACCATCACTAACTTCAGAACTTGTCACACTACCCTTAGCCTTCTCAACCATATCTTTTTTCTTAGTTCGAATCTCATTTAGCAGCATTGCAACACCCATAGCAGCAACCCAAGGCTTCCGAGTGTCACAGCCTACACCACCTACCAATTGATCCAATTTACTAGAAGAGCCCACATTATCCTTTTTCCTCCCTTTAGCTTTCTTTTTCTGTAAAATGGATTCTTGCAGAGGAGGAAAGTCTCCACCAACATGAGAATTATCCTGGCCGACATTAGATACTTCCTTATCCCCTCTCAATAGGTCAGCAACTCCATCAGTAACATTCTGACCACCTAGATTCAGGACATCACCACTAGGTACATCATTCCTAACCCTCTGCTCATCCATGTCACCAGAGGCACACAATGCAACCATTCCATCAGTCTTAACCAACTCCACTTGATTAATACCAGAGCAAGAAGTAACAGGATTACTCTCTGAAGGGCCTTCACAGTCAGCTCTGCAGCAGGACCACCCTGCAGATCTTTGGCCTTCAAGGATTTATTAACATCAAGATTAGGATCAATAGAACAGGAAGAAGATCCAGCAGGGACTAGTTTGTCCTTAGCACTAACCCCAGAAGGATTAACTTTCCTCCTCCAGACTTGAGTTTCTTTGTTTTTAACTAGCGCTTCTGCACAAACATTAATAGATGACCAAAGGTATTGCAATGCAGACAAACCCTAGGCAGCCAAGGTACATGGACCCTAACCCTCACAACAAAACCATTACTCAGCAAAACCTGAACCATTCCAGGAACCTCAACACCAACCTTAATCTCAACACAGACCTTGGCATACTCAAGTCTCTCTTTGGATGCCGTTATGAAATCCATATAGAGTGGATACCCAATAGCACTCACAATGTAGCTAATACCTAATCTAGTATAAAGCTCGAGAGGGATATTATACAATTAAATCCAGATCGGGATGCTCTTAAGGTCAAAATCAAGCCTCTGTAAATTAGGCTTCCACTTCCTAAGAATGAGTGGCTTGTTCTGCACATGCCATGCCCGTTTTTTAGGATCCAATCTCTCATATCTTTATTAGAGAAGGAGAAAATATAGAGATTCGATCTAGCAAGACTAACCTTCACAGTCGAGTTTTTCCCCCACAGGATCTCAGCAATCCTCTGCATGGAGCCAAAATTCAGAGCATCTCCAATGAATTGCCCCACAATAGAGTGACCCCATTCAGCAATCCCCTCGTCAAACACAGCAGCAGGAGGCTTGACAGTGGAAATCCCCTCCAATTCCTCAGGAGGAAAGAAATCGAGGGTTTGCTCTTCGATTCCCCCAAATAACTTCCTCCAATCCAGACTCGAAGCCATAGGAAACTCAGATTCTATCAGAATCCACTGCACAACACTAGAAACAACGAAAATGGAAGAAAAATCAGCAACGAATTTCGAAATACCTGAATTAAAGAGAATACATTTATATACATGTCGGATTAAAGCATATACAAGATTTGCATTCTTAATTAATCCGATTATATGGATTTTATTGTCCTCTAAACTCGATTTGAAAGACCATACAATCTTTCAAATGTCAAACTGAAAAGGCTCTCTCAGTTATTAAAGTTTCAAATCCTACTCGATTAGCTTAAGCAATATTGCCATACATGAACCAAATCGTTACAACTCACGCACAGAAAAATAAATGTAGACTGTCCCTCAAATCCGTAATTTGGATCAAAAATTGATTTTTGAGTAACATTGAGAATCCAAATGGGTAGTCGGTAATGGAAAACAATTCAAAAGTCATGTTGAGCATTTCCATGGAGGTTGCATAGTTTTTGCTTCCCTTGTCCATTAAGAAACGACAATGGCTTTTCCAACTAAAACAGGAGGAGCTCTGAAAATAACTACGAAAGTAAAGAATATTCTATTAAAAAGAAGAAGAGCTTCTCACATAATCGTAGTGTCTTGGACAAAAGCACAAAAGGTGAACCAACTTTAAGAATAACCGGGTCACAAGCAACTTTGAAATATTATATAAAGTAATAAAACTGGGATTAGGGTAAGAAGGGTAAAGATTAAAGTTTAAGTTGTAAAATTATAGTTTACTATAGAAGAACAGTTGGTTGGGTCCTATCCCTTTCGGCACTGCTTCCCATCTCTTCCCCGTGGCTACTTATCCCTCTTGGACAACATTCCCTCTTTGGAAGAAATTAAGGATGCTTTTTTCTCTCTGACACGTCTAAAATCTCCTGGAATTGATGAACTCTACGTTTATTTTTTTCAACAAAATTGGGATATTGTGAAGTCCTCTATTTGCTCTATGATCCATGGTGTACACATTTACGTTTGGGATTTAATTTGAACTTCATTTTATTTTTAAAGATTTATTAAGTAACATTACTATTACTATTTATTTATTTTTGAATGTAAACTACCGACATTTATTAGACCCCTTCCATCGCATCCCTCTTTCAATTAGACCCCTTGCACTCCATATACTTTTCCATATATACGAGGGTTATGATCCTAATTGCGCTTTGAGAAAATCCGTTGAGTGATAATATTTAGCTCGTAACAGTCTATTAACTAGATTTGTGGGATGCGTAATTAGTCTCAAGACTTATTTTGCCAAAAGTGCGACGTTAAATTTCGCAAGATTCCTAAAACTCATTCCACTTTTATCTTTTGGAATACACAGCTTTTCCCATCGACACCAGTGAATGCCTCTCTTTTTTTCAGACTTTTGCCACCAAAACTTGTTCTGAACAGCTAGCTAAAATACTGTTTTGATGCGTTTTGAATCTCTTCTTAGCTGTCGCACTTCTCTCCCCTCCCGTTTTCCAATGTCCAGATTCAATTTTGACGCTTTCGTTGGGAAGCATATCGATGAAAGAAGGATGTATTATTGTCACCATTTTTTAGCCAGTTCGCTCTTGCCATTTGTTCCCAGTATATTTCTTCTTTGTTAGATTCGATGTTGAGTTTCAGTTTAACATCTGTTATTTCGTCCAGTGTATCTTCCGATGGATCCGTCTCTATTAATTCACCTTGCCTCCTTTTCAAATCTCTCTCAGTCAGTTCTTTCTCTCTACTTATTCGTTTGAACCACAAGTCTAATTCAGTCTTTAGTGATTCCAACTTTTCTAGCACAAACCCTGTATACATGGTCTAAATTTGCTCTACTACTGTCGCGCATGATTCTTCTAGAAGCCATGATGCCTTGAGTTTAAAGTGACAAACGATTTTTGGATTTTTTGCCATCTGTGTCTAATAACAATGGACAGTGGTCTGAAAAAGAATAGGGGAGGTGAGTCAAGTTGCGTTGACTAAATGCTTCTCCCCATGCTGCGGTTGCTACTCCTCTACCTAATCTTTCTCTGATGTTATTTTCTGATGTTCTACTTTTTCCCACGTATACCATGGTTTGTGGTACCCAATGTCTTCTAATTCATAATTTGCTAGAGCTTGACGAAAATCTGTCATCTGTCTTTCGTTTCTGACAAATGCCCCTTCTTTTTCGTTTGAGAAAAGTATTTCGTTAAAGTCTCCAATAACCAACCATGGAGTATTGTGAGAATCATTTAAACTTCGTAATAACTCACACGACTGTCTCATTTTCCTTTCTTTTAGCGCTCCATAGAATTCAATACATCTCCATATTGCATCTTTAGCTTCATCATGAATTAACACTTCTATATGTGATCTCGAACAAGATCTCAATGTAACATTATATTGGGCCTTCCATGCCAGACATAGGCCTCCACTGTTTCCTATTGAATCAACTTCAATTCCATTCGTAAAACCTATCGATCTTCGTACGTTAGTCATTCGTGAACTCTGTAACTTTGTCTCTATCAGGAAAATCACAGAAGGTTGGTATCTCTTAGCTTGTGCTAGAGACGTTTTACTATTCGAGGGTTACCCAATCCCCGAACGTTCTAACTTAGTATATTCATTGCGTCTGGCTAGCCTGGTTCATCAGACCTGCCGATATCTTTTTATTTTCGTCTTTTGGGTCGTGTTTGGGTGAACCAGCGACTTTTATCACCAGTGAATACCTCTGTCTCTTCAATCCTTCTCTATTTCCATTGGTGTGTCCTCCTTGACCCACGTCATCTCTACATTTATAGCCTTTTGTATAAATTGGATTCTGTCGTTCTTGCTGAAAAGTTGCTTTACCAAAGGGTTTACCCATTCTAGTGAACTATTTACCTCTTGCGATGCTCTTGGATTGGAAGTTCCTGTGTTCATTGTTTGATTTGTCAGCTTTATTTGATTATAGTTTTCCTCCCTTAACCATGGACTCTTTGGAATCAAGCTTTATGTAGGTACAGCTTTGAAAGATGCGTCCCATTGAGAGCTGAGGTCTTTATATTCTTTTATCAGTTTCAGGAGGAAGAAGCCTTCCTTGTGTCCCAAATTTCCACACAAGTAACAAAATAGGCGCAATTTTTCGTACTGAAACGAGAAATAGGTTGTCTTTCCATTCAGTAGTGCGAGTTGTTTTCTTCTTCTTTTAAATGGTGATCTGATGTCTAGTTTAATTCTCACTCGTATACTTCCTCTGTATCCTCGAGTTACTGACGATGCATCATATTGTAGAAATTTTCCAATGAAGTTCTCAAATTGTTTTGCAACATATTCTGAGATAAAGCCTACTAGGAGTTTCGTTAATATGAACCCAAAAGTCAATCGATTGGAGAGTAACTTGCATTGGGTGTTCTCCTGGTTGTAATCTATGTGAAACTAGGATGTGTAAATTGAAATACCATGACCCATCGTTCTCGATTCTCTCCACATCAACTTCATGAAAAAGACGGAAAAGATAGAGACCTTCTTCCAGTTCTGTTATTGTTATTCCTCCAATTGGGTGCCTGATGTTTGCCATCATCGTTCACATGGCTTGAAAGTTTATCTTGCTTGATGTTAAGAAAAATCCAACCAAACAATTTTCGAAAGAGAAAACTTCTTCTTCCCCT